TGTGTGTGTGTGTGTGTGTGTGTGTGTGTGTGAGAGAGAGAGAGAGAGAGAGAGAGAGAGAGAGAGAGAGAGAGAGAGAGAGAGAGATTTCCATCTATAGGATGAGCAACGCACGGGCAACAGGTGAGTCTCCAAACCAGCGGCTGGCCTCAGGCTACTTCCATCGATAGGATGAGCAAAATCGAATGAATCTTCCGCTAGAACAGAGAATACACTTCTACACGCGCGCGCTTGTGTGTCTGTGTGTGTGTGTGTGTGGATGTGGTGGGGGTGGGGGGAGACCCCACGACCCATCAATCAATCAATCAATCAATCAATCAATCAATCAATTTTTTTATTTTTATTTTTTGGTTTATCATGATACCACCTTTTAAAAAAAAGGTCTTTTTTTTCGTCTGGGGGGTGGCCCCATACATCCGTCATTCCCCCCCCCCCCTCCTGCCCCTGAAGGCCTTCATTTGTGCTCGAACGGCCGTTCGTACGGGCCGTACGACTGCCGGGAGGGCCGTTCGAACGCACGAACGGCCCGTTTTTGTACGGGGTTATACACAGGTTGCAGGTGTTTTATAACTGGGGGGAGTGCAGGGACAGGAACTCGGGGGAGTGCAGGGACAGGAACTGTACGCACCTCCCAACAACGACGACCTACATGACAAAAACCTCGACGATGACGGCTGCCTGTTATGGTATGCGAAAAGATGGTCAGTACCGTTGTGTCTACAAGAGCTGGAAGCAGTCGACCAGCTATGGCGTTTGCCCATTCTAGCTGGCTCGATGGGAAACAGCCCGCTCCCTTGAACAGCCCTCATCCCAGTGCATGTGATCGCCGTCATCGCCATCATAGTCATCGCCTTCTCTTCGTCCTCTCCTCCTCTTCTCCCTCCCCTCCTTGGAACTCCACTCAGCCGAACCACCGCACGCACTGCGCCGCCACCATTCACTGCGCAGCCCGCTAGCCGCCGAGCCGCTGTCGAGCCGCGCACAGCTGGCTAACGGAAGCTTAGCTGATGAGCCGCGCACAGCTGGCTAACAGAAGCTTCGAGCTAACGGAAGCTTAGCTACTGCGCCGATTCATCAGCCGGTTGATAGGGCCTGGCGCAGCTTATTAGCTGATGAGTCGCTCAGTAGGCATTCACGAGCTCGACCCCCGCACACGTCGCTCAGGTGTTGGAGGCGGTCGGATATTCCAGACGCCAGTACGAACTCGAACTCCGGCCGAAGGTATGGATTTCCCCCTCCGTTTGCCCCCTCTTCTTAACCCCAAGGTTTGGGTTGGCGGGGGCAAGGTCCCACTTGCACGGATTAAGAGATTCTGGCCGTTGATCTTTGCTATCTACGGTCAACATCGCTTAATTCGTGTAAGTGGTAGCCCCGGGGTTGGAGGAAAAGAGACGTAGCAATTGAGAGCGAGGGAAAAGGCGCGGAATCAATCAAAACATATTAAAAAGAAATTGAGAGTGAGAGAAGAATTAAAAAAAAAAAAAAAAAAAAGGCGGAATCTTCAATGGTTTCAATTGTTAAAGAACGTTGTAAGTACGAGCAAACAGTGTGAAGTGATATATTTTTCTGTTTTTTTTTTTTTTTTATCCCTTTTTTGGGAAGGATTTCAACGTTTCATTGCCACGGAAAATACGAGGCCGTCCTTCGCAAAAAAATCGAGAGATGGTCCCAAAGAAAAACGAGGCCAGGGGCTAGGTCCCACTTGCACGAATTAAGAGATGATGACCGTAGATAGCAAAGATCAACGGCCGAAATCTCCTCATTTGCGCAAGTGGGACCTTGCCCCGGGAGTCCTCGCAATCAACCCGGAAAAATACGGGGCACAAATCTCAGCCTAGATACGGCGATAATTACCGGGCGTTCTATTCGGGTGAAGACGGGCGTTCTGGAAACGGGGTCCAGCGTCCCATATCTTCCCACAAGGCAATCTTTCCTAAAAAACACTTTGAAGCGCAAGGCTTATTAAAACCAGAACAGAGGGGCTCGCCTAAGACGGCTGGGCTTCCAGAAAAACATAAACTTTGGACCAATAGGCATAAAAAATAGCCAGACCAATCATGAGCAGTATGTCTAAATTCGACTTCTCATACCCCACTTGGACACTTTAGAGCAACCACTGCGCCAAACACAGTTTACCTTCTGTATTCACTGATGCGAAGTAATTATCTCTACCCCATGTTTTCAAAAAACACAACATACCTTCAGAACGCCATTCAGGTTGAAATCTGATTGAAGGATTGAGAGGTGGGGATGACCTCCTTTTGGAAAACTTCAGCATTTCGAGCTGCCCAGATAACTTCAAAGATAATGCCTCTGCATATCAGCGCAATATAAACCATTCCCCAGATGCGGAACTGCTGTTACCTGGGATCTTGCTGTGTAGAATGAAGTCGCTGTGACACTCCGTGGAGATAGAGGGCTTCCATTTTTCCTTCCACCATTCCCAGATTATGTCTGAGAATGGGCAAAGGAGTCAATGATGGGAGTTTTCCCAGCCCCACTCGCATCGTGTGCATGTGGACTGTAACTCCATACTCTTAGAAATAAGCCCCATCGAGGAAGCTGTTATCTGGAGAGATTGCAGCCACTGTAAGGCCGCCTGTTTCTGGGAAGGTAACTTTTTCAGAGCCTTCCAGAGTTTGTACATGGATATCTGCAAATCAGCCAGCCTCCTCTTTGCAGTGATGATAGGTTTCTTTTTTCACCTTTGCCTGTTGAAGGAGGACCTCTGTTTTGGTTTTATATGCGAAGATGGGAGTAAACTGGTTGAGCCAGTCTGTGGGCTTCCATCCAAACAAAACTGGTTCGATCATCCGGAAGCTCATTGTGATTTGAACCAGGGAACACATTGTCCCCTTCTAACCTTGTCTCTCCCACACTCTCACTTCCTTCACCCCCCTAGTTGTTACCAATACTGTATCCTCTACGAAACTCAGCGTATCTGCCGACCTTCCTGGAGCCTTCTTCCACTTTTGAACCTTTGTACCAGTTGCGGGCCTACCACCTTCCAATATGTTGCCTGTTGCTCAGGGTCCGTCAGCCAGGTACCAGCGTTACTTTCTCTATTTTTCTTCACTGACCTAATCCAGTGGAGAGGAATAGATACCCGTACAAGGGTATTTAGCCATGCTTTTACAATCGACAGAACGACGACATGGACTACCATAACGAAGTCGGTCTGAAGATAAAAGTATGCACGCTTTTGCGCGGCACTTTGAGACGACTTCCTCAACCATTGAGGTGGAGATGTATCAGAAAGTAAATTTGGTTAGTAGACGCGCGCGTTGTTCTGACGCGCGCCGAGGTGGTTAGAATCAGTAATAATGCTCCTCGACCACAAAATTTGAGGGTTCAGTTTAATAAAATCAGGCCTACACGCCATCTTTGCAGCGGAAAAAGGTCAAGCCTAAAAAGTACAAGGTGCATGTCTTAGCACAATGCGAGATAAAAGTAGGGAACGTGAAAATGTTATAAACCCCTCGACCGCAAGGGTCGAGGGGTCGATTGGGTTAATGTTGTCTCAAGCAAGCCTACGACACGCACGAAAACTGAAGTGTCGGTATGTTTTTTTTTTAGTCGAATTAAATTATTATAGGCCTCGGCCGCATCCATAAAGGCCTAAAAACCTACTGCAACCCAACTACGGCATTCGTCGGAGCTTGATTCCTCGCAGAAACGAAAATTGGGCTCGGACCACTGATCAGACTAAGCCCCTCTACTTTACATATACCAGAGATGCTCCTCTTCTACTTGAAGTAGGAGCTAGCTCCATAGGTTTCGATGCGGATTGAAGATCAGAGGATTCGGAGATTGAATTCATTTGACCTCTAAACTAGTTGCCTTTCAATAAGGAGCTCAGCTACAGCCCCACGAGGGTCGTTATTTCACTCCGTTGTCGGTCTGTCAGGGTTTGAACACGCGACCTCAATTCTACAAGTAGTTAGATTTCGCTGGTTAGTTGAAACTTGAGCTTTTGCCCGCCACTTGGCAGGTTAGGGTAGTTGGGAGTTCGATTTTGTTAGTTTCTTCCATTTTCTTTTTTCAAATTGTTTTATTCCTATGAATCCGCTCGTATTACTGGCAGATTCTTTCATGATCAGGAAACTTTCAAGCATCATGGCCAGGGTGTTTGCGACCCACTCAGTTTGACCAACAGTAATAGGCGGGGAGGTACTATAACGGGAAAAGTGACAGTTGGCAAAGAGAGAGCCTAAGCAATTAGTAGTTACAAGTTAGACTTTGTTATATCTTCTTTTTCTCAGATCCTTTCCTTTCATTACTTTTTTTTTTTTTTTTTTTTTTTTTTTTTTTTTTTTTTTTTTTTTTTTTTTTTTTTTTTTCGATTTCGATAGATTTTTCTTCGATGAATCCACCGCGAACTTGGTGCATATTCATTCCTTAGGAAATGCACATTTCTACTTCGCTGTGGCTCGACTTGGAAAGTAATCTGGTCGACCTCACTGGTGTGCTCAAACGGGGAAATAAGGGGGGTCAGACTGTAAGGAAGGTAGTTTGGCTTGAGAGAGATGGAAATGTGGTGCTTAAAAGAAGAAGATGCGCAAGCAAGGAGATGAGCAGGCAAGTAGGGAGCGCGTGGGAATGCACATGCAAATGTTCGAAGAAACGGGCGCAATGAGAGGATGCGGGCACGAGGGTAGTGCACACAAGCGAGAAAGGAGATGGTAGCGCCGAAGAAGGAGGCGTGCGAGGAAAGAGAGTAGACGAAGACAAGGAAGAGGGAGAGAGAGGAGGAGAGGGTGACCTACCTAGCTTTGCGGTCGATGTCGGCGAGATGCCTAACGTGCAGGTGGTGGAGGCGGTGATACCCACCACCGATTCTCAGTTTCAGGCAGAAGGTGTGGCTGAATATGTACCAGTTGTTCTCAGAGTTATACAGGCAGAAACCAAGCTTCAACTGATACAGCGTACGCAGAAAAGCTACTCAGTTTTTTATTGACTTTTTCTGATATCTAGGCCAACGCTGGGATTCGACCCAAATGGGCCAAGATTCAGAAAAATCAGAAAAAAGGACAAGGGTGATATATCCTGCACACAACAAGCCGGATCCATGACAAGATATGTCACGACGCCAGAAGCCACCACTTCGAGTGAGTAACGGAAGCATTACCAAGCAGGAAACGTTGAACTTCGTTGCCTCGATCTCATTCAGAATTTTTGGCGGAAAGAAAACACGTTATCAGTGGGAAACGGGATTCCCGGTCTTCAAACGAGAAAGAAGACTCAGCCACATAGTCGGATGGAAGGGACAAAATTGATGACGTTTTCCTTCATTCATTTTTGCACATTTCCTGCAATTTTGCATGTCGGTATTTATATATATATATATATATATATATATATTAAGTTTTATTTATTTTATTTCTATTTATTTTATATATATATATATATATATATATATATCGTCACAAACATAACTGCCCAGTAAACCGTAGGCAGAGAGAGAGAAGAGCACAACAAACGAGGGGCTGTGACAAACTGTTTCGTCGGAGTTTCACCGACTCATCAGGAGGCTGAACCCTCAACAGTCTGCAGAATCCCCTCACT